TATCTACGTATTCAGCAGTGGCGTGACGTGACATTTGATAGTAGGGAAGCTGTGTTTCTGTAAGAAGCCGACTTCCAGGGGCAATCAGTTAATTGCGCGTCAGTGATGGTCAAGGGTCCATTCGTATCGTTAGTTCGATAAGCCAGTAAAAACAGTAGACTTCTCTAAATGTATTTTTAATATCGCAATTACATTTGGAATCGCTAGCCACGATATAAGGGCTACAATTAAAAATAAAATAATAAAAACTTACTCGGTTAAATAAAATGTGTGGTGGATATACACTACCTGGTACAAAACATTCTTCAATTATATTAATATACTTTTAAAGAAAATTATAATTAAATACAGTAGAGCCTCGATTATCCGATTCAATTGGGGACTGGGGTTGGTCGGATAATTGAAAAGTCGGATAACCGAAAAGTATGAAAAAATCCATTATCAGTGTAGTATATTATTATATCCCATGTAATTAGTATATTAGTATATCGCTATTAATCTACTTTGCGTTGAATTTTCATCGATGTTAAGCCTAACAAAAATTTTTTAAAATAATAATCGTCGCTATTGTATCGTTAAAAATTAGAAAATTAAGCCTCGTTTAAATACTGGCTCCCTTTCATGGTCGAATGAGTGTTGCCAGCTAAAACTCGTAAAAATAATATTAAAGTAGCCAAGACAGCCAAATATTGTAGCGCCACATCACTAGCGGACATTTGAAATTTGCTGACTAGGACGGTCGGTTAACCGAGGTTTCGTTAATCGGGGGTCGGATAATCGAGGCTCTACTGTATAGCTTTGTAAAGAAACGTACATAAAAATAACATAAAATATTCTTTACTTTTTAAATCTTAAAATAATCCACTTAGTCAAATAGCTCCCTACCAGTGGCTAATGATTGGGATCAGAGACGGTCCTGCAGTCTATGCATGCACGCGGGCTGCCAAATCCCGAGGGTGCCGATACCGGTCAATGTCAAATGCCTGTTTAGTCGCATCACTAGTATACCTCAAAGGACGCGGTAGGGTTGTTGTACATTTTAAACGTTTCTCGCCATGGCTGTAAAAATCTAAATATGTTAAACTTAATAGTCATTTGTTTTCTAACTAATTCGTTTTAGAACCAGGTGTTGTCCACGGAAATTTCCAAAATTTACAAATTTTCGGTCACTCTCGTTGAACTGGAAAAATTTCTGTCTTTATTACATCTAATATTTCGAAGAAATCAGTCCCCACTGTACTCGGCTAGAGATTGGTTCGGTTAAGCTTTTGTTTAAGTAAAATTTCGGCTCCTTCATCAGGGTTTTGTTTATGTGCCCAATTCCCTAATCGCTTAATTATTTAACTATTTCTTAAGTAGAAATAAGTCGAAACCGATTACTTTGTACTCGAATATTTGTTGTCTCGGGAAAAAAAGTGGAAAGACAAATTTTTATGACAACGGATATATAAATCGTAAATTTAAGGAAAATAAATTCTAGAGCTTTTTCTGTACCTCGTGCATCTCTCTCATTCATTAAATTTAGTTGTAAATGATGCTGTCAAAGTAACAGTTAATTTTTTAACATTATATAAGAATTGTACACGTTTTTTTCTACATCCTCTTACAGATGAGACATACGAAATCGTAATATCACTGGTTTAACATTGAAATCCGTGAGTAATATAAAATCGGAGAACGTAATAAAATATCAAATATTTTAATGGATTTTTTAAAACTAATGTCAACTATACAGAACTATCATAAAAACATACCAGTAAATTCTTATCGGTTGGGTTAAGTTATAAATCTACTCGTGATTCACGTAATCGGGCGAGGGCGGCCAAATATCCAGCGTGCGGGCAGCCAATAGCCCAGAACCGGTCCTGGATAGAATTGGATGTGGTATACGTGTAGCATCCACCCGAGGTCCTAGGCTTCTACCAGCTAAACCGGGTGAGGTTGGTGCTCTGTAAAGCTCATGCGCGAATCTGGCTTTTTGGATGCTGACAACACAGCGCTTCCACTCCACCACTAATATTCGAATATATAATAGCGATCTTATCTTTTTTCACGTGTAGTATAGAAATTTGTAATAAGATATATAATGCGGTTATAATAAAATATTGTGCAATTATTTTCATATAATTAAAATTAATATGTATTTATTTTTTAGAAAATAGAAGAGAAGCGGCGCATCCACCGCTTCTAATGACGGCCCGCCACTATTGAGGTAATATTTTTATTTTTATTTATTTACTTATTTTTTTTGTTAGACGTAAATAATTAATTAAAGTTATATTTTATTTCAATAAAACATATTATAAACAATCTTTATAGCATTTATTCATTCATTCTATAATCAACTGGTGTAAAATCTACATAAATTTATTTCTACTGAAATACCTAACTTTAATTTTAAAAAACTGTCAGTTTGAATAAATTAATAATGTACAAATAATATTTTTTTTAACAAAATCTTTTGCATTCCATTAAATCTAGTTTTAATTTAATTTGAATATTTGTGTTTCTTACTTATTACAACAGTTAAAATCGTTTTAGTCATCTTCATAATCATGTGTATACTGTATATAGGCCTACATGTTTCTAAAACTTAAGGACGATCACAATTGTTTGGAGGGAGAAGTGGACCAATTTGCCCAAAGAACACATGAATCACTTGGTGAGTGTTGCATCGCAGTTCGAGGTGGACATATTCTACTGACTTTTCTCTCTGCCCTGGTATTGTTAAGCACTTTTCATCCATTCGCCATCCATGTCCAGCTACTGTATTTAATCTTTCTAACCTTACTTTTTATTCCATTGACTTGTAAAATCCTACAAGTTGTTGTGTATTACCGTGTGTTAGACGTCCAGTAATACAGTTTTTGCCATATTTATCTAGAAATCTCGTCCGTTCTTTAGTTTTAGACAAGTGTATAAGTGTTTCTGTATTTATCTCTATTACTTGGATATTAGAGAAGGGTTCATTTTCAGTCTCTGATACTTCTAAGACATAATTACACTCGTAGAAGAAGCATCTCAAACTTAATATTAAATCCATTAGTTGTAAGTACTTTTGTTATTGATGAAATTGCAGTAAGAAACAACTGTCATATAAATTTATTACATTTTAAGAAATAAATCTGTAATTGTAGTGCTGTATTCTGATTGTGTTTCACGAATAAATTGTATAGGACTGTTCATATACTCTCATTTTAACTATTAAATAAATAAGCAAACTAAAATCAATAATATTAAATGTAAAGAGAAACTAGTTTCCATTTAAATATATGTGATAATTTCAAACATTTAAGAAAATAGATATTGTTATAATTTTATGATTATGATAAACAGATTATAATTTTATGATGATTATAAACAGAACATCATATTTTGAATGGAATGTAATGTAATGATAAAACGGATAAATTTGTAGTTTTTTAAATCGAAAATTGATCAATAGTAATTTAAAATAGTCTGTTTTTATTGTTAAGCTAATTATTACAAGTAGTATGTGGTATTTAATAATAAAACTTAAAACTTAAAACTGTTCTGAGTTTGAAATAGCCTAATTGCTGTATGTGGAAGTTTGCCTGTTATCGTGTCAATCGGATGGCCTATGAAAACGTTTACAGAAGAAATTTTTGGACGCACCTTGTTTTATAGGTTTATGCCAAGTGGATCCGATAAGAACTGACAATATCCAAGTATATTGTGTAAATATAGTTTATCTTTCATAGGTAGTAAGTTAAATATCAATAGATAAATTTGTCCTGCTGGTGTGAATGTTCTGCATAGACTTACCTCTTCTTCTGTGGTAAATCTCGAGTGGGTCCTCCAAATCCTTCAGAAGACATAATTAAAAGAATCTTGGAAAGTCTCTATCACAAAACTGGAACTTCTTGTTTTGGTCCTTCTCTTCGTGGTCATTATTCTCGGAAAGATTAGCCCATGGCTTTTTTAATTTGATGTCTCTCTTTTCTTTGGAGCCCAGTCGAGAGTTTTTGTTCACTGTTTCAGGCTAGAAGGAGAAGAATGATGAGTGGCTATCTTTATCACGTGATATGATCTAAATAACAAAGGAGATTTCTGCAATGAAAGAAATTAAACTTGAAAATATATTTTTTAAATTGAACGTAAAAAATAAAAGACAATAATCTTTTTTAATGTGAGAATCCTCACCCCTCCTGTACATATTATAAAATAAATAAACTATACTTCGATACACTGTAATATATTTTAGTATTGTATAAAATGTTAAAATATGACGAGTTTGAATATAAAGAAAATTTATTTCTGGGATATTTTTTGAATCTGGACATTCATCATAATTTCGTCACGAAACGTTTTTATAATAATAACAGATAGACAGATATAAAATTGATTGATTAAAAATTATCAAGAAAAAATATAATTTTCTCCATAATTACCTCATCTATTACGATAATACTGTATAATTTTTTTGTCATGGAAAAGGAATTGGCAAAGCGTAATAAGAATTTATTTTTCTTATAATTGTGAAGATGGTACATTTGTCATTTGCTCTGACTGATAAAAAAAAGGTAAATTTCTTGATTTTTTACACGATTCGTTAAAAATGTTTTGCTGATATTGACATTTTAAATTATCTTCTATAATTAGAATTTCAATTATAATTATACAATTTCACACATGTATTCATTTAACACATAATATTGTATGGAATGTTATGAATATATCTAGATGTTAAGCTTAATTACAGTACTGTATATGCAAACCTAAATCAATTTAAATTGATAATTTTCAATAAGTAATTTAATATAACCTATATAACAATGTTATTTTCCTTTGTTTTTGCTTAATAATAATAAGTATAAAATTTATTACTTTTCATGCACATTTCTTTTTCAAGTTATGAAAACATTACGCACAAGAAACTAATCTTACAACAAGGATAAAAGAACTTTAAAGTATTTCCTTTCTAAGGGATATTTCCAAGCCTTTATTTAGATATATTATTGCCTTGAAAATTACTAAAATATATATTATTTTAATAGTTTTTTAGTGTTTATAAAAAAGTTGTCAAGGAGGTTACGTGTAGGGACAAGGTAAGTCAAGTTTTCACTCATTGGAGCAATAATCTTAAAAATAATGGACTATAGAATCATTTTATCATTTTTGTTGAAATTGTTTGCATTCTGACATATATTTTACGTACATTACAGCAGAATAAATTAATACAAAGAATGATTTACAATCATTGTCACAGAAGTATTACTTACAGAATATTATACATAAAATTTTTCGCATGGTGATATATTTTTTCATATTTTTAAAGATTATGTAATAACAGAAATACAAAGTACTAAGAAAACTCTTCTGAATGATCAGAGATAAAATGATAAAAAAAATAAACCAATAAATAAATACATTTATTTTTCCAACTAGATTTAAACTTATCCTTCTTCTCAATTTGAAAATGATTTTTAGATCCGTCATTTTGAAATTTTATATAATTATTGATTATATTTTTACAGGCAGTTTTACAATTTTTTTGTAAACAGTAATATATGCAAATGGCCTCGATATATAACGATACTGCCAAAATAAGTGTACATCATTGGATCTTTCTCTTTCATTTGAAACAACTGACAACATAAATTGTTCTGATATGAAGGTTAATTGCAAGCTATCATCATGATTCACACATTCAATTTCTTTAATAATTTTTATCTACTTTCATAACTTTCTCATATGTGATAATTTGATTTTCATCAAAATTAAACGGTTCATCCAAAACAAGGCCTTTTTTTAAAACATGCAGCATTATCTTTACCAATGTTTAGTAATGTTTCACTTTTTACATTAATTTTGTATTGCACTAAGCCATTTATAAAAGGAGCTTTGTTTCTATTTAAATCAATTAAACATAAAAACATTCTATTTCCATTATTAATTAAAATCCATCCTTCATCAGAATAATTCTTATGGTAATAGCTACAGATGTCATCTAATTAACCGCTATCACTTCTATGTGGTTTTTATATGACCCCGAACATTTTCAAAACATTTTTCAATATTCTTTTCGCCAACATCTGAGTCTTCTTGGTTTTGTTCTACTTCAATCTTTTGGTAGACCAGAAAATATTGTTTGCACAGCATTGAGCTTTAACTTCGAAATTGTTCGCAAGTATTCTTTTGTTTTACCTTTCACTACACAGTTTCTTTTTCTGATGAAGTCATCATCTGCAAAATGCATCATGCATACGATAGGATTTTTTATTGCGTTAAAACCTGTAGGGATTTTCCTCAACCATTGTCTTTTGGAAGACCAAAAGTGGATGATAGTTGAGGATGGATTTTGATTGTTTCTTTCTCACTTCTACAGTTGGATTTGCAACTAGCTATACTTCAGCACTTATAAGTTGTCTTTCTATTTAAATAAGACAATTCACGCATGAAAGCAATTAGCACTGAATTGGTCATATGATAATTTATCAGTTTGGGCACCGAGGAAGGCCTATGAATTTACAACTGTCACGACAGCCTCATTGACGTACAGTACATAATGTGCATTCAAATTCACTATCTCTTTAATTAGCCTGAACGTCTGGAAGTAAGTCCTCATAATTGCAGCATACAAAGCATATGGACTTTGTATGCTGCAATTATGAAGAACACCGCCTAAATTCTTTTTGCTACTACAGAATAAACAGGAAACCACCTCGGCGCGTTGTGGTCTGATGATACTTTTTGAAGGCGTTGTGGTATATTCATAATGCTGGAACGATTTGTGGTCATGTAATTTAACAATCCCGACCTGCATTTTTTATATGCCACACGCCTCATGGCCTTTTTATAAGCAGCCAGGACGCAAACTTTCTTGTTGTGGCAGTTTGTAAAAAGCCATAACGCGTTATAGGCACTTAGTCTCGAGTTATGTGAGAAGCAACACAAATGTGTTGGGAATGTCATGGTTTTAATGATACCAATCAATTCAATTAGCAATTCATTAAACGAGTTGGTACCACGTGACACTTCCAACAATTGTATTATAGATCTACAAAACTCTAGTGTGACTGGAGGGTCGGCACCTCTTTAGTGCCTCGTCAGGATTGACACCACCGTGTCCCGATTGACCCGGAAGCCGAGACGACGTGTTGATTCGGTTCCGCGAGCGGCTTCGTACGCGGGCGATCGGATCCGTGATGGAGATGGGTTGAGAGACAGTGTACCGGAAGTAATGTAAAGTACTCAGATACGAAAGTTAACAACTAAATAACCGTTTATTTTAAACGAAGAGGAATACTTGATACAATATACAATAGATATCGGATTAGGTTATACCGACTTAGCCTATTCTTCTAGCGGTCGCGAGAGAGAGAGTTCACATGAGATACGCGCGAGGATAAATATCTTGTAGAGGATCTTGGTTGCAATGTTGTGAGGGTAGAGGATCTTGTAGGAGATCTTGATCTGCTGCGAACCGGGTGGACAGAAAGGAAGAAAGTTCTGGGGACAGTTATTATTCCGACAGTTTTGAGTAAAAAAAAAATAGATATTATTGACGTAGGCGAGGAGGTACTCGAAAACGAGGTATTTTAAGGAGCACAGGGTATCCGTAAATTAGGACACAGGGAAAAATGAGTGGTCCGATTGAGGAACTGGCGACGCCTGCCTAAACTTTTAGTTTCTGGCTATATTGACTTGAAGAAATTGAAATAGTAGGTCGGGAGGTTATGAGAAAGCGTCGCTTTTACTGCTGAGAACTTAACATATGATTTACTCCCAGGTGTGAAAGTTGATGTTACGACGTTAAATTGCTTACGTTGAAGTCTGATTTTTATACTATACTAGGTCTGTTTTTTACTGCTGATTTGAATGTTTACGATCTTTCGCCTAACGCAGGCATGACAAACATACGGCCCGCGGGCCGGATGTGGCCCGTGTAATGGATTTATATGGCCCGCGATTAATCTTTCAATATTAGCTACTCAAGTCAGAATTGCTCGGTGAAAAATTCTAACGCCTAGGAAAAAAAGGGTCAACAACTCGCTGTCTGGTTAGAGTTAGCCCTCCATTACAAATCTCATAAGTACAGCGTAGAACGTTGATAAAGCATGATAATGTGGAAAACGTATCTGTAATCTCTATGTACTGTACAATTTAGTCTCTAAGGGGTGACACCACAATGAGATCTCGCACCACCTCAAAATCTTCCTAGGGCAGCCTCTGGTTCGGCCCGTGAAAAAAGTTTTCTTTCCAATTCGGCCCGGGGGCAAAAACTGTTGGCTACCCCAGGCCTAACGTGTACCTACATTACGTATAGGATATCTTCCGGGACATCAAAAGTTGTAATACTATTAACAAGAAACACTGTGTATCTTGTAAAATTCCCTAAAATGTTTTATACGTTATCTATTCTAGTTTGATATTTCTTGTAAACATATTTATTATTTATTTTCTTATATTATTTATAATAAAATTTACGTTTTCTAATTTAAAAAAAAAGAAATAAAACACCTATTTTATTCGATAGTGAAAAAATATTGTTAGACAAATTGCCTTCTTCAGCATTCTCCAGAGATGAAGAAATAAACAAAGGCGTAAAAAATAGTTGTTTGACATAACATGCCTATTAACTATCTTATTAATATCCTCACAGATAGAAGTAATAAAGATAATAACACTAGTCTAAGTATTATTATCTTCATTTATATTCATTTAGCACTATGCATGTAATTTATATCAAGTTTATGATATAGTTATTAATTAAGACTTTTAATTATCATTTATTTAAGCCTGGAAGTATTTATTAAAACTATTATAGCTGTTAATATAATATATAAATCTTAACGATTCATCATTTATTTTAAATCTTTTTTTATTTTTGATGTTTTTTTCGAAGATTTGAATTTAGCAGAACAACATGCATTTTTTCCATGTTTTTATAAACATAAACAAATGATTTTTAATATTTTATTCTTCAAATTTTTTAATAATTAAAAAGCTCTTATTTAATAATAATAATAATAAACAATATTGTATTGTATTATCATGATTAATATCACTCTCTATTCACAAATTTAATTAATATAAAATAATTTTTAATATTTAAAAATACATTACTTGATTTATTATTATTATTTAAAATTAAAAAGATACATTAATTTTTAAAAAGCCACTATTTGTATTTAAAATTTGAAAAGCTTATCTCATTAATTTTGCATCAGCAGGTAATCTGTTGACATAGATTGAGGCTACTCAAAATTTATTTCTACCCTTTACAAAAATAAAAATAAATTCTAAATAATAAATGATGTTAAAATTATTCTGTAATGAAGCTATTTATTCTTTGATATTTTAAAATAAAACAAATATTATTATTTTGCATACGTAATGAATTTATTTAAATGAATATCGACGATTTTATCAACGAGAAGCAAGAATATTAATGCTTTTATCTATCAAACATTAAGAATTAGAGCATTAGAACAATTAAATTTCACATAATATGAATATTTTACTCATAATATATGTGAAATTTAGTCGTTATCACTTTCACTTATACCATAAATTACAATGGAATAAGTAAAATTGTGACTATTTAAAAATCCTGCAAGATACAATCGAACATAAATTAGAATTTTTATAAATAATTCTAACATAAAAAATGTAATTTTGATTTATTTCCTTTTTAACAAAATAAATCAAGATTTTTATGTTATTTATTATTTTAAACGTAAAAAATATCGATGCTCTATCGAACTCAAAATAATATAGGGCCTAATTATATCACGTATTTACACGTTTTCAAGCAGAATTTTGAAAAAAAAAAAAAATATTATACAATTTGATGATTAATAAATATACAAATATAAAATATTATCTCAAATACAACTCGTCAATTTTAGAAGTATTGTTACATAGTGTTTTGCAAACTTCGTCATGTCATATTCAGGCCACATTATTCATAAATGCATATTTTAAACTTCTACCATTCATTAAAATTTACTGAAATGGATTTCACAAACTTTAAAACATGAAGAAATCATCATATTAAATTGTGAAATATAATAAATATATTTTTCACAGTGACATTTCTGAA